GCAGCGAATTACATGGCAAGACATGTATCTTTTATTATTAAAAAAAAATAGGTATATTTTTTTGTTTATTACATTTTTCGGTACTTATTCAATTTAGTTATTAAAATATAATAGAAATATAATTAATTTAAAACTATAATTCAAATAGTTTCTGTATGGTGTATGTATGGATGTATATATCTTAAATTTATTTGTTTTTAATTTCAAATAAAAAAATTATGATTTTTTTACTGAATGCATTTTATAATATATTAAAGAAAAGTGATTGATACACATTTTTGTTCACTGCACTACATAGCACACTAATTATTAAAAAATATTATTTTTTAATCTGAAATTAAAGATAAATAAATTTAAAAATACAATAATGCATACATGATGTAAGAACCGATTGAATCAATTATATTTATATTACATTTTTAATAATTAAACTGATAAATATTGTTAAATGTACTGAATCGAAAAAATGTGTGAATCATTGTCCCTAAAAATACTTTATATTTCATTTTGTTTAATGTAATCATTTAATATTAGAGTGCTGTTCTTAAAATTATCATGGATTAATTCAAAATGCTTGTATCCTGGCCTGAAATACCTCGACGGGAGTAACCTACCCATACACATTGAAATTGAAATATTCATGAGGATTAGGTGCTTGCTGCCAATCCTTGAATTAGTTTGAAGCTATTTTATATATGGCTTGGTTGAACGTATTATGTTTTTTTTTTTTTTTTTTTTTTTTTTTTCTATATATTTAGCTTAACAGGCTATCTCTGTCATAAAATTTGTTTAATTAGTCCAATTGAATATAGGAACGAGAATCATGCCAGGGAAAGAAACGAAAATAGAAAAGAACCAGACAGACATTATCAGATGTGCGGTCCATGTGAGAGATCATGCCTAAAGTCATTAATTAGTTTAGCATAGTACCTTTCATTAACTAAATGCGTTCTAATCCCCAAATGTCGTGTTGCTAGAAGAAAAGTTGGGTTAGCGTTTTTTGGTAGACATTTTTTATTTCTATCTTTTTATATTAGAATGGACAAGTAATTGCACTTCCTTAAACGGCAGCCTATTTTACAGCCAGCCAATTTGTTTACGCTAATAAGGACCGTCGACATTGGAGACATTCATCTCATCATCTTTGCTTTTGCTTTATAGGAAAAAATCAAAAATCATTTAAAAGGAAGAGTTTTAGTTGAATTATAAAATATTATTTTTAAAAATATCAATTTTATTTAATTTAATTGATAAAAATATTTAATAATTATAATTATTAGTTAATAACTAGTAAAATAATTCATATTTAGTAATTAATAATTAATATTCTTAGACAAAAAAAGAAAAAAAAAACCAAAATTTGGTGATATTTACGGTGGCATCAGCTAGACTCATTTTTGAACAGTGTTTGAAAGGGGTTGCCGTGTTTTTCTCAATAAACCAAACAAAGATTTGTATTTGTAGGTGCATCATGTGATCTTTGATTCCACGTTGTTTCCGTCGTCTGGCTGTATCTGCCTTTTTCAAGGAGCTAAAATTTTTGTGCCCGTGACAAACAAAGGCCCCAGTCCCATCCATATCTAAACGGTACCCCACACCAGGCACATCACATTCAGAATCAAAAGACTTCTCAGTCCAATCATGGCAGCGTGAAGTCCTCACTCCTCACCACTATCCCCTCACAAGATCCATATGAAGCTACAATAAATCAATTCTTCAACATTTTGGTGCATGAACAAATCCTACAACTATTTCATCAGATGTTAGACCACTCTCCAAAATTCTTTGGGCCCTCCTAAGGTTAAATGTTATTTTTAGTTTTTTAATTTTTAATATTTTTAGTTTATGCATGTTCAAAAAAATATTTTTAGTTTATGAATTATTTTTTT